CAACTACAATGACATGGGAAAATACCCGAACAAAGCTGAATGCCATACATGTAAGTACCCGCGAAAACTTAAGAAAATACACACACACACACACACATATTCTTTATAATAAAAGTGATGCGATCAACCAAAAATGAAATACATCTTGGAATGAATTCAAACAAAAATACATATTTTGAGCAAGGTGCATAGGGCAGGTACAATAAATAACAATGATTGAGGGTTTGTTTATTTATTTCTATTCCATCTTTATTATTTTTTATAAATAATTCAAGCAGCAAACATACCAATACCTAATATTTCTTCTTCATACTATTTTCCCACAACAATCACCCTATGAGGTGAATTGGGCTGAGAGAGATTGACTAGCCCAAAGTATCGCACGCTGGCTTTCATGCCTAAATCAGGACTAGAGCTCCTAGTCTCCTGGTTTCTAGCTTGTGCCTTAATCACTAGACAAAACTGGATAGTGTTTAAAAACTGGATAGCTTTTAAAAAACAGGTAATTCAGAGACTGTCTGAGGGGCAAAAAGTAATGTTTAAATGCATGCCATATTGATAAGAAATAGACTTTAAACTGATTTGTGTATCCTAGCCTTCAATTATTTCTTGAGTCTCCAAGACCATCCTTTTATCCCAACTTCTTCCAAATTAAGATATTTTGCTAAAGTAGCAAAACGTAAGCATTTTAATTATGTATCCTAGGAAGGGAAAATTCTGCTATGAAATTTCAATAGGCATTGGCCTTTCATTTTCAAGCCCTACAAAAGTACCTTACCTTTTCCACAGAAAAGCAGCACAGTACCACACAGGTCATGTGTGCCTCACTCAGTCTAATAGGGTTTGCTTTCAAATAAGTGCACAACAGCCTTTAAATACTAGGTATAGGCTCTTTCAATGGGTGATCAACCTTCCAGCAGCTGAGACCCACCCTTTGGAGCAAAATGAAGGCAATGGGTAGGTTGATGAGGCAAGTGGTTGGGGCTGAGATCTGGCCCGAGTTTGAGGAATGAATGTTGAGATCTGTCTATTATTTTAAGGCTACTTTACTGCTCAATTGCAATCCCACCCAGTAAAGCACTCATAGTAAAGGAGTATTGGTCAGGATGGGATTCAAGGACCAGGAAAATATACAACTGAAATTTGTCCACTTGTGCTTTCCACGAAAATTGATTCTCAGAGTATTCGTTTTGCATTTAAAGTAATACCTTATTGTGTTAAAGCCCACTCAGAAAAGCAGAATTCCTATAACCTTGCTGAAATATATGTTTTGTTTCTTTTTCCAGCTCAAGTTATACAACCTGTGATATAAAATGAGCAGGATCAGAGGCTTTCTGTTATTTCACATGATCACATTTATTTTATTTTCAACTTTATTTGCCACCCATCTCTCAGTTCAAGTGACAAATCATATATCTTTCATAGTAATACAAAGATTACTGGCACTTTTATGCCACTTTTTTGCTTCAGCATAAAAAACATTTTACTGAATTTGAAAAACATGAACTTGTTCCCACGCCATTCTGTCTTGTGAAGCATGAATGTTGATATTGGATTAAAATGATAATGATTTAATACTACATTTGTACTAGAATGAGAAATCCTTAGTTTTGGTTATGGTGACTGAAGCTTCTGAGAACTATACTACCCAACTCCTAGTTCTGCAATGATAAGGAAAAGTACTGTATTTCATGTCAGTTTATGGATTAATTTTTTGGGTAGACAAATGGCATACAGCCCCCCTAAACTATGACATCCCATAATATAGAATGGAGCAAGTCATGCTAGGAAAGGATCAGCTATTTCATTCAAACCCAAGTTGCTGGCTGATTTTCTGGATCCCATCAAACCCAGCTTTTCTGGATCCCATCAAAGACAGTGCAAGTGGGGCTGAGTAATGCATGGACAACAATGAAACTGGAAAGGCTGAAACATGTGAAGAGGAAAAGAAAAACACACAAACGAAAAGACGCAACTGCAAAAATCCAGTTTTGACTGAGAGAGGCCTGAGAGGTGAGCACACCCAGCATGTGCCAGCAGCAGCGTAGGAAGGAAAGAAACAGAGAGAGAGAGAGAAAGAGAGAGGAGAGAAAAAAAGCCATGAGTGTTATGAATGCACATAATATACAAATGTTGGCTCCACTCTGACACCCCACAATTCATGACAAAACCATCCCACCCGGATTCTACAATAAGCAGCACATAATGACACCAAAGACTCTTAAAAAGCTACAAGACAAAACTACAAATAGCTGCACTGCAGGAGAACCCAAAACCCTATTACACAAAACACAAGACTTGGAAGCAATGCCCATTTTCATCAACTCTAAACTGAAATTCTACTCCAATTCTTGATGCATTGCATTTTGATATTACTATACAGTACTATTACTCTTTAAGATTTTAAAAAAGTTAGACCTGCCCATTCTACTCAATATAGGGCCATACAATCACTTACCAGGGCATGCAGCTTCTCCTCCAAATCCTGATTTGTTCTTTGTGAAGCTGTGTAACTATTTTGCAATCTAAGATATAGAAGAGTACCCATGTTACTGAATAGTCACAGAAGTTTCCCCAGGGTGAACACCAGATATGACATATTATACAATGGACTGTGGTATTGTATTTATGGCATGCCTTAAACTCTGCCATGTTTAGGTATTCCATCTCCTTCTGCACTAAGCTGCAGGAAGCTTGAGATAGGAGGTAAAAAATTGGGGAGAAGGTGTAAGAAGGAATAGAGAACAAGCTTGATAAGGAGAAATTATTAAAATTCACTCCAGTAAAAGAGCAGAAATGTTGAAGATTATGATCAAGCTTTCAGATAAAACTCCCAATCTTGTATGGTAGAATACAGTTATCAGTAAAGGTTAATCTCTGTCTCTTACTTCACCATCTCATATTCCCCTCCACCTGTGAAGTTGCTATACTAATGATTGCACATTTGTCTCTATTGCCCCAGTTTCTAAGCTGATAATCCATGTGTGTTTACTAAGAAGTGGACTCTCAGTTTGGTTTAAACTACGGTATCCAGGCCTGGTTACATCTAATAAACATCTAATAAATAAATATTGATAAGCAATGAGAAAGGACCCCTTCCCCCTACAACAGTAAGGCATCACTCATGTCAACAACTTTCCCAAACGTAACAAAGCCCTAGATTAGTATTTCTCAATCTTGGCAGCTTGAAGATGTGTGGACTTCAACCCCTAGAAGGGGTTCTGGCTGGGGAATTCTGGGAGTTGAAGTTCACACACCTCCAAGTTGCCAAGGTGGAGGTACAGTGATCTAGATGATGGAAATAAAATGTGATATATCCCAACAGGTATCACTGATTTCAAGATTCAACTCCAATTGAGACAATGAAGCCATCATATTAGGGAGTCATGGAGAGTCATTTGGATTGGACACATGCCTTTCACAATATTCAGTAAAGCTCATTTCTTTCTCTGTTTCCAGCTCCCTATAACTGTCTTCAGTTATTAACCAAGGTATTAAAAAGCCTGACCAAAGAGTCTCTATGTAATTACAGTACAGCTCTGTAAGTCCATGGGTCTTACATAACATTAAGCTATCCAATAGCAAGCCAAATGCTAAAGGAGAAAAAAAATCCAGCTTTGTAAGTGGTGTCTGCATGCCTCAGGACACACATTTCACGTAGAACAATTTCCCTGTACATAATGATCTACAAGAGAATACAGAAGCCTGTGACTTTCCATATGCTATCAAACAACTACTATGAAGAATAACAGCCAGAAGCTATTGGGAATTGTAATTGAACAACACCTGGAAAGCCCAAGGTTTCCATGATTTCATTTGCAGTATTTCTCTAAACAGCAGAGTATGCTAAAATATATTGCAGAATAAGCTAAACACTACCAACTAAGGAACTGGACTGCTTTGTTTCCTCTCCTCCTCCCCACCTGATGTTCTAAAAGTCACATACCTACGGAATTTGTCTTTAAATTTTTCTAGCTCTTCTCGATTTTGGCCCAACTCCATCTCCAGGTAGTCTTGCCCAGACTCCAACTCCCTCTCCATTGCTTCCATTTTATTGGTGACATAGGTCAGACGTCGACGCAGCTCCTCATTGTCATGCTGCAGCAACCTAAGGTACAAAAAGCAGAAACTTATTTCCAATTAAACTACAGGAAACTTTGCTGCCAATATAGCAATGTGCCTCTGAACAAAGTTCAATTGCATTTCTGGAATCTGGAAAATTAAAACTAGATAAATACATAAAACATAGCTTCAATTGTCACCTAATTTAGCTGCCAAGTGAACAAATGAGCTTTATAAATTGAAAAGTTGCTTAAAACAATTGGCTAATTATAACTCACACTCATAGGCACCCAAAACACCATCACTTCCGCATAATATCCACAAGTCCTGTGGACAGAGAATTTCAGTATTTTTTCTTTCGAGTTGAACATCCAAGGTTCCTTCAGTCTGTGCTCTAGTCTCTATATCATCATTGTCACCCTCCTCTGAACCAGTTCTAAATTATCAATCAATCAATCAGAATAGAGCTGGAGGGGACCTTGGAGGTCTTCTAGTCCAACCCCCTGCTCAAGCAGCAGACCCTATACCATTTCACATAGGTGGCTGTCTAGTCTTTTCTAAAAACCTCCAGTGATGAAGCCCCTACAACTTTCCGGAAATGTCATCCCAGAATTATGTATGTGGACTCACCAATGTGTAGTAGAGGGGAATAAGGGCTTCACACATCTTTGATACAATATTCCTCTAACAATTATCTCACACTAACTTACATTAGCTTGTTGACAATGAATACACACAAGTCATTCTCCATTATGGTGCTTTCAAGCCAAGAATACTCATGTTTTACTTAGGCATGTCATGCATTTTTCCTCCCTAAATATAACAACCTACATTTTTCCCTTTTGAAGAACGACTTGCTTCTTTTCACTCCAGCCTTCTAAATAGTTCAAATTAGTCTGCAATCTTGTTCTGCCACCTAGGATTTTAACCAGATCTTCCAATTTTGTGTCCTCTACAAATTTAGTAAGCAGCCCATCAATCTCGTTTTCCAGATTTTTTATAAAAATGCAGATTAATACTGGCTGTGAAATAGATTCCAATAGTTACTGCTTTGTAACACGATGTAGAACCATTCATGCTGATTGCCTGAGCACAGTTGACCTTCTGCTGTAGACCAATCTTACTGTGGTGCTATCCAAATTATACTTCAATACTTGTCGAGAATGCCATGTGGAATCTTGTCAAAAGCTTTGCTGGAATTGAGGCAGGCTATATCCACAGCATGGATAGTAAAATAATTGACTTGCAAAGGAGATGAGTTCTGTCTCACATGACCTATTTTTATAAAAAGCTTGGCTTAGCAATTGCAGTATTGTGTTCAAAAAGGTTACAAATGACCTCCTTCACTATTTTGCCCAAACATTTTTCCAGGTACTGATGTTAGGCTTATTTAATCTAAAAAAATCAGAAGGCAAGTAGTCAGTCGAATACTATATTGGTATGCCTGTGATGGTTAAAGATGTAGGGGTGTATTGGGGGGGAGGGAATTCCTAAAATGTTACTTGTGAAATACAAAAGTATATAGTTTCCATTAATTGCTTTTCTAGTCAGATTTTTGTGACTGGTTTTATTTGCTACAGGAGCCCTTTGGGTAGGCTGATTCAGCCTTCCATCCTTTCAAGGTGCTGGTAAAATGAGGATTCCATATTGTTGGGGACAATATGCTGACTCTGTAAATTGCTTAGAGCTGTAAAGCACTAAGGGGTAATATATAAGACTAAGCGCTATTGCTATTGCTATTTGGATAGTATTAAAGATAGTTTTTCAAAATTACTAGCATGTTATCAGACGAGAATGTAAGATGAAAGGAATTTGGGATCAAAAAGAGCATGCAAGATCAGGTAAATCTTATGCACAGAATGAAGATGGCCTTAAGACCGCTTTAAGGAGCAAGCCCACCTGGGCACCAACATCAGTAAATGTGAGCAACTTGCTTTGGTCAGGGAAGGAAAATTCCATGCTTGATCCGGGGTGGAATTCTACCGGTTCTGACCAACTCTGTAGAACCAGTAGCTCTGAAGAGCAACAGACAGAGAGCATACATAGAACCGGTTCTATGTCTGCTGCTGTTTTGGCCCACCCACCTGCCCGGGCTCTTACCTGACCTTTATTTCCTGCTTTTTCAACCATAGCTGCTTTGCGCGACACAGCTGCAGTTGAAAAAGCAGGAAAAAAGTGCTTTTTCAACTGCTGCGCACCCGCATGCTATGCTGCTCAGCTGTCCAGGCAGCTCACTGATGATATGCACGCATGTGCAGCAAAACGTAAAATCACCGAACCGGTAGTTATACCGGTCGGATCCCACCCCTGTCCTTGATCATTTCTTTACTACTCTACAGACAGGGAGTTTAATTGTAAAAAGTAGGTCACCTATCTATGCAAACAGTTCCTTCTTAGTTTACAGCCTTTAAATTAAGCACAGCAACCAGATGGAGCGAAATAGCTCAGGTATCTTCCCCTGAAAGTTAAAAGTTGCTCAATAATGTATGTGTTTCAGGGAAAACTAATAACATTGCAGGAAGGAAAATAACCACCCCATTTTTACCTTGATTTCAATATTCATATTAAGAGAACTATCCACTTCTAAGTCACCAAATAATTTTCTAGGTGAAGATTCACATATTGGCTTTGGAAATACTGATGCATAAGGATTATATTGCCAAATCCATACATTTACATCTATGTAATTCTCTCAAAGATTCAATAATTCTGTTCTTCACAGCATTATCATCTGCAAATATTTTACCTAATTTTCCAAAAACATAAAATAATATTTTCAAGATACATAAATAGATGATCAAACTTGCAATGGATAATGTTCTTAAATTAAGCTGTTACAGCAGCACTAAGACAAAGATAACACTGGAGTTTTAATTTAATAATTCTTCAGCTGGGTTTCTGTGAAGAGCATCCTTGGCAGTTTAAGCTCAAGTCAGCCATTATTATCTTAACAATGATCATCTTTGCCAGACTTAAAAGTTATACATTAGTTCTTTTTAAGCATATTGAAAAGTTAACAGAGGAAAACTTAATTCCACAACATCAGGAAATAAGCAGAGATAATATAACGTGAAACCAGAAGTACTACAAACAACTATGAAACAAAACAAGGTCTGGGATACTTACTTTATCCTTTCTGCATCTGTCAAGGGCTCCTACAGAAAAGAAAAGGAAACAGAATTAAGGTTTAATTAAAAGTATGAACTAGTTATCAGAATAGCAAACTAAACCATACAAATGCTAAATGGAAAAAATAAGGGCAAGTTTGGATAGTGGTTTGTATCATGTCTTGAAACCAGGAGACTCTGCATTCTATTCCTGCCTGAACTCAGTTGGGCCAATCACTCTCTCAGCCCTAGGAAACAGGCAATGGCAAACTACATTTGAAATCTTGCCAAGAAAACTGCAGGGACTTGTGCAAGCAGATGCCAGAGGACAAGATCAACCTGAAAATCAGATTTCTGGTGAAGCCACAAATATTTTCGAGAAACTGCCTATGCTAGGCCACAACTGTGGTTATGAAGAGAGGACAATTTATATTAAGAACACAGATTATTCTGAACAAATCTCTCAGTCACAAGGCTTATTACACAAAAAGTATTTAGGATTTGTTTTATGGCAAATACACTTCTCAAAAAAATAAAGGGAACACAAAAATAAGATATCCTAGATCTGAATGAAATATTCTTATTAAATACTTTGTTCATTACATAGTTGAATGTGCTGACAACAAAATCACACAAAAATTATCAATGGAAATCAAATTTAGCAACTCACGGAGGTCTGGATTTGGAGTTACACTCAAAATTAAAGTGGAAAAAAACACTACAGGCTGATCCAACTTTGATGTAATGTCCTTAAAACAAGTCAAAATGAGGCTCAGTAGTGTGTGTGGCCTCCACGTGCCTGTATGCCCTCCCTACAACCCCTGGGCATGCTCCTGGTGAGGTGGCGGATGGTCTCCTGAGGGATCTCCTCCCACACCTGGACTAAAGCATCCCCCAACTCCTGGACAGTCTGTGGTGCAACATGGCGTTGGTGGATGGAGCGAGAAATGATGTCCCAGATGTGCTCAATTGGATTCAGGTCTGGGGAATGGGCGGGTCAGTCCATAGCATCAATGCCTTCGTCTTGCAGGAACTGCTGACACACTCCAGCCACATGAGGTCTAGCACTGTCTTGCATTAGGAGGAACCCAGGGCCAACCGCACCAGCATATGGTCTCACAAGGGGTCTGAGGATCTCATCTCGGTACCTAATGGCAGTCAGGCTACCTCTGGCGAGCACATGGAGGGCTGTGCGGCCTCCTAAAGAAATGCCACCCCACACCATTACTGATCCACTGCCAAACCAGTCATACTGAAGGATGTTGCAGGCAGCAGAACGTTCTCCACGGTGTCTCCAGACCCTGTCATGTCTGTCACATGTGCTCAGTGTGAACTTGCTTTCATCTGTGAAGAGCACAGGGTGCCTACCAGTGGCAAATTTGTCAATCTTGGTGTTCTCTGACAAATGCCAAACATCCTGCACAGTGTTAGGCTGTAAGCACAACCCCCACCTGTGGACGTCAGGCCCTCATACCACCCTCAGGAAGTCTGTTTCTGACCATTTGAGCAGCCACATGCACATCTGTGGCCCGCTGGAGGTCATTTTGCAGGGCTCTGGCAGTGCTCCTCCTATCCCTCCTTGCACAAAGGCGGAGGTAGCGGTCCTGATCCTGGGTTGTTGCCCTCCTACGGCCTCCTCCACGTCTCCTGAGGTACTGGCCTGTCTCCTGGTAGCACCTCCATGCTCTGGACACTATGCTGACAGACACAGCAAACCTTCTTGCCACAGCTCGCACTGATGTGCCATTCTGGATGAGCTGCACTACCTGAGCCACTTGTGTGGGTTGTAGACTCCGTCTCATGCTACCACTAGAGTGAAAGCACCACCAGCATTCAAAACCATCAGCCAAAAAGCATAGGAACTGAGAAGTGGTCTGTGGTCACCACCTGCAGAACCACTCCTTTATTGGGGATGTCTTGCTAACTGCCTGTGCTTTCCACCTGTTGTCTATTCCATTTGCACAACAGCATGTGAAATTGATTGTCAATCAGTGTTGCTACCTAAGTGGACAGTTTGATTTCACAGAAGTGTGAAATTGTGTTATTTAAGTGTTCCCTTTATTTTTTTTGAGCAGTGTATATTCTTTCAGTCAAAACTTAGGTTGACTTAAGCCTTTCCAGACATTTATTTATTCCCTTCTATCACCACAAACTATTCTACATTCAATGTAGCACTGTTGTTTTGGGATGTTAGCAAAATGCTATATTGTGCCATAAATCAGTATTAAATCAATTACTCTAGCAATCCTATCAATAAAAAAATAAGATAAATGATATTGCTATCAAGGACCTAGAACATTCTTTACCAACTCCATTTTACAGAAAGGGTAGACTCACAACAAACTAAGATATTTTAGGCCAACAAAAATGAAACTATCTAAATTCATCCTCTAAATGTTATGGTTTGATAGGAATTTGAATCCAGATGTCCTCAATCGGTCAAGTGTTAAAACTTACTATTGCTTAGTATTTCTATTTACTTTTACTTCATAATTATCTTTCAAGGTTTGGGAAGCTTTGAATCAGAAATCCTCAGTGGTCCAAACTTTTAACTATCATAGTTTTCAATTGTTCCCTTTGTCTATGGAGGAGATTCTCAGTCATCCAGGTGATTGTTGTCCTAAAGGTGCTTTTTCAAAAGGCAACTGGACTTTCTTCGTTTTTCCTTAAAGTTTCACTTCTCATCCAAGAAGCTTCTTCAATTCTGACTGAATAGTGGAGGATGTAAATATAAATCCTTCCATCCTCCACCATTCATTCAGAACTGAAGAAGTATCTTGGATAAGAAATGAAACATCCTCAAAGAAAAATAAAGTCTAGTTACTTTTGAAAAAGCACCTTTGGAATAATTGCTCCTTCTCTTCTTGCTCATTGCTACTTTCAGCATATTTGTCACATATAGAGTTGTCAAACAAGATATTCCACACTTTTTATTATTTGCTTTCACACAGCATTTGAATCAGAAGGAAAGGTGATTGATCAGATAGCAAGGAGGAGGAAGAGCAGGCATACAAAACCATGACAACAGAAGAAAAAAAAATCATTTAGAAGACCCAATATCTTCTTAAATCTGATATCAGAAATTACAGAATCTTCTGTTAGACTTAGAGCATTTAACTTACGAATTATTTTCCTTGGATAAAGGAATGGAAGATCTCAAGAACAGTGCTTAGATGAAAATGTGCATTTATTAGCCTGTCTGACCCGGTAAGTAAATTGCAGTAAATGCATTTAATCTTTTAAGCTACAACTTTGCAATCTTGCAATCAGATAACAAACAACAGCAGCAGGATTTACTGTTTTACTATTCAAATTAATGCAAAAGAGGTGCTCTAAACTGACCACACAATAAAGGTGTTGAAAAAATGCCTTGAAGAAACAAACCAAAGCAATCCACATTTGAATATAAAGGGATATAAATTACCAGAATGCTTGAAAAGTTCCCATTTAAGAAATGGGCTGAGTTTACTTATTACATAATAAACTCTTTCCAAAGAAAACAAGGCTAAAAAGCTTTATATTAAATCCTCAACTGAGGAATGAGGGAGAAGCTCCCTTCCTATGCTTATTGCTACAACAGAAATGTATTTTAAGTGAAAGATTGGTTACTTATCCCCTCTTTCTAAGCACCTACCTTGTTAATAGCTAAGCTGAAAGAAAGAAATTCTAAGTGATATACTACCATTCCCTTGTTTCCAACACAAGGGAAGATAGGAGCTCTTTTTCTCCTCCAGGTAGCCTCACACCAAAGTGACATGTGGCCAGGTGGATTGCAAGTACATACCAAGTATTCATTTTGGTCCTGCCTTGTATCGTTTCCTCCCACCTGCTTATTTTCCATGAGGGTAGTTATTTTCCCTGAAGGTGGATGCTGTTGCTTAAAAGATACATTGACAAACTCAATTCCACTAGGTACTACAACTGATATTGAGACAAATCCACCACCTGTTTCTCCAAAGACCAAAGCTTCTCTGTGCTGACCTTCCTCACTAGAGCAAGCTTTCTCCTTTGTCTAGATGTCCTGTCCATCTCCTCTGGAGTCTTCCTATGGCAGAATATTATTTCAAGGCCCCCTCGCCTCCATTCTTCTCTTCTCTTAGCTAGACAAGGGCTTTTCTTAGCAATCTGCTTAGTGCCTTCAAGCAGGCTTTCCTTCTGCCCTTTTCGTGTGGAACATTTGGAAACCGCGAAAGACTTCTGGATTCTTTCTTCTCCACTAACTTCACCCAAAGAATGCAAATGGACAGGACTCAGGACTCTGTGGGTGATCTCATCCAGGAACTTTGAGAACTGGAGCTTCTCCTGTCTTTTTTTGTCTTTTCGTTGAACAAACTCTGAAGAGCTAACATTGTGACATTCAGATGCATGCCTGTCATGTCTCTTGAGGCAAGGTTGAAGGTCATTATACTGTTGTGATTGGTTGCTTTGGGTCAGGGTTTCTACTGAGTTGGATGTTCCCAAGCTTTGAGGCTGCACATTCAGCATCTTTGTCTGTTTCAAGATGCCTTTGAGAGGTAGGTGAGTGGTTGGAATATGGAATTTCCTTGGTGCCAATACCTCAGCAGGTTCTTTGAACATAAGAGAACTTCTACTTTTGAAGGAGCAGATTGGCTTTTGGCCTTCATCTCCAGAAGCCATTAGTGTCTCTACGCTATGGCTCATGAACTTACTGAGCCACTTTTGACTAGGATACTGAGAGTACTTCATACTCTGTTTCTCTACTTTCCAGCTGGGAAGTACAGCAGAAGATAGATTCCAACTCTTCAGGTTTAGCTCTCCTTGGCATAGTGCTACTTTCTTGTCACTACTTGATTCCAAAGACAAGGAAGGAAAGTTAAAATTGCAAACCTCCTCATACCCATCCACCTGCCGTTTAAGGTCATCTGTCCTGATACAGCTGAACCCCTTTTGCAGATACACCAGATCCTTAACTGCCTTGATTTCAGTTACCTGATTCTGCTCTGCCAAAATCACACCATCATATTCATCACACAGAATGGGCAGCTCATGATGAATCTCACGATGTTGTGGTGGAGCCTTACGGTAAGGCTTCTTGGAAGGTACTGTGCTTGTCATTGTCTTTCTTGCTTGATTTTCACCACAGGTCACCTGCCAATAGCAGAAATTACAAAAAAAGAGTCATAGATGCCCCCAAAGCCAAGCATGTTTTCAGGAGACAATCAAAAATCTGCTGACTCACAATAGCCATATAATCCAAGAACAGAGGAAAGCTGCAGGCCAGAGTGTGGGAATAGTAACTGCAGTATAAAGAAAGAGCAGAAGAAAAAACACAGCGGTGTCAGCCCAGCTAGTGAGAGCAAAAGCAAGTTCATCCTTTCACTGCGTGTGATGTACACACACACACACACACACACACACACACACACACACACACACACGGCATGTGTCCAGATTATATATAGCATATGAGCACAAACCTTGGAGCAAAATATTGATTGGGCTCTTTAGGAAAGGCCAAAAACATTCCAGACAACAGTGACAAACTAGACAGGAGCTCTTGATCTAATGCTGTCAGAGCCAACAATGACAACAGAGAATAAGCTGAAGATATGAAATATAAGACAAGCTGGAATAGTTGTATGCTTGAATCAATTAAAGGCAAATTATTTTTGAATGAGAGAAGGACACAAACAGCCCAAAGAAACATCCGCTGTTAATTCTTCCTCAAAAGCCAAGGGCAAAGCCAAAGACAGATCCTAAATGGAAAATGCAAGCATTTCCAAAACTGAAGGTGGCTATTCATACAATAAATATCAGAGTAGTGACCAACAAATATCATAAAAATAGTCTTATATCCATAAAATGCATCAAAAATAAGTACTATCATATTTCAAATATTTAAAAAGCAGAAAACATACAGGATAGGCTTCACCCACACAGCAGTAGAGTTCATCCACAAATGATAAATCAATTTCCCCATTCTTCCCCAATATATATATTGCATAACTATATATATACCAGACATACTATGCAGTTTCTAATAGGGATAAATAGCTAAGGTTATATGAACTGCTAGATTAGGCTTTCATTATCTGTGATATAGCAAACACAGCATTTAAGTTACTATCAGATGGCACAACGAGCATGTCAGCAAAGACGAGGTGCGTCTGACCCCCTTTGGAAACCAGGCAGGCTGGCTTCAAACCAGTATGGCCATGATAATCTCCCCAGAGTATTCAACAGTGTTGTAGCCTATCTCTATCTACAGCATATCTATATTGCATTTAAAGAGTACTGTACATAGTATGCTATTATGCATGCTATCATCATTCAGGATCAATACAGAATTGTCTATTGACAATAACTGCAAGCAGAACTCACTTCAGTTCATACTAAGGTAGAAATATAGCATGAATATAATTAATAAGATTGACATACCTATCTTGTAAAAACAATGCAAAGCATTGTAAGAAACTGACAAAGAATGCTCATAGCAAAGATCAGTAAGGTCAGAAGAGGCTGAAAAAAAAAAGAAATATTGTAAATCAGACAACACTTTGCAGAAAGGAGCTTATCTCCTTTGCAAGCAAGCAGTTTCTTGTCTATTTCCTCCTGTACAAGGAATGCATGTCCTTGAGCCAACAACGCAATAAGATCTAGTACTCATAGTCATAAGGGGCTTTGCAATCCTCAAGAACTAGCATGTTGCAATGCTTGGTTAAAGCAGACCAAAAGGTAAAGAAGAATATAGGGAGGAACACAGAATCTCCAAGGAATTTCATTCTGTGTAGCACCCAGAGTCACTCTTCCAAATTAAACAGAAATGTGATGAAGCCATATTATTTCTTCTGTCCCTGATTCAATAAAGATCCTACTGTATAAATGGAGGTATGCTACTGTATATTAGAAACAATATTTTACTGTAACCATACAATCATAGGAAAACTGGACTTAGCAACAACCTCTGAGAGAGAACTAGTAAGCTGATGATCCATAAAAATTCCAGTAGAATGCAAAATCGTTTGGCTATTTCTCCCATCTTTTAATTCCACTATTTAAAAAAAAACAAAGATTTTATTTTATTCACCAGTTGTTAGAAATTTCACAGAATTAAAATGGCTATAAATTCACTCCTTAAAGTATCATTGAGAAAACGTGTCTTACACATATAATGCAACGATTTGCATTATAGGAGTCACAAAAGTGATAACTCTTGGTATCGGAAGCCTGTCCTCAGAAAGCCTTTCTCTATGTCAATATTTCGCATAGTAGGAAGGATCCTGGTTTAGTAATAAGATCACATACTTTTAGTCTATCACACTCACCAGTTTAAAGGATCAGCTGCCCATGATAGGAAATACAGTACTGGAATAGCTGAAATTAGTATAGACAATACTGGAGACAAGACAGCTCTGAGTCAGCTGAACAAATACTCTGATCTAGCATAACGTAGCTTCTTTGGTTCATCTCCCCCATATCAGGAACAACATGAAGCCTCCTTGAAGAAATAACTGAAATGGAATCTTATAGAGAGAGGTGCAGTCCTCAGGCTACATGAAACTTATAGGCAATGCTCACAGTAATGTAATGGATATACTGAAATACTTACCAATCTGGGTTCTGATCTGAAGTCTGAAAAAGGCACTCAATCCAAGGATCTAAGAGTTGGGGGGAAAAAAGACATCCAGCTTATCATGAATACCTCCTCTACCTCAAATGTTTCAGCTTGAGGAACCTGCAATTTCTGTTGTTTTAAAGCACTCCCAACACTGAAGTTGCAGAACACCTACTGAAGTAAAGTACTTTATCCACGATTGGAAATATTCGGTGATCCAAATAGGACTATAAGGATTCTTTCAGTTTACAAACTTTACTGTTTGTTACAACTGGAAGATAAGATCTTTAAAAATTAAGCTGTGATTGAGACCAAATTATATTCAGTCATGAATATGACCAGAGTGGAAAATAAGCTTTTACATCAACAAGAGGATAAAGGAAAATTCTATTCTTAGATGCCTAAGTAAAGATTTCATTTTCAAACTTTTTTGTTTGGGGGGGTTTTTTGTACAATGTGCTAGTGTTCAAGCATTTTATTGTATAAAACCAAGTTTTAAAGGCTGGTTTCCCATCAAAGACCATCTGTAATGCCATTTCCCATTTTAAAAAAATTGAGGTTCTGAGGTACAATCCTCCCATCTTCCGTACTATACATCCAAAGGCCTAAAAAGCAACCTGTACAAATAGTAACTTAGAACTGCCATACTTTAACATTTGACCTAAACTTAAATATGGTTAATTTGCAAATGACACTGAAAAAATTAAGTAGAAAGACCTCAAGCTTCAAAATTAATAGAGCAGGAAGTCAGCAAGGCTTGTATAAGCTGCTGAAACAAGTCTTATAGATGCCCTGCTATTGGCCTTGCCCCAACAAGTTTGTTGGCCCCTTTCCTTACTACAGTGTTTTCTTTGGGCCTCAATGAATACAGAATAAACAATCTCACAATAGCACAGCTGGGGAAAAAGCAGCTCAAAAAAGGACTCACTATGTTTTGCAATTCCATACAAGTAAAGAAAAACTTTCTGAACATCTTTTTTTTTAAAAAAAAAATCTTATGTATGAGGGGGAAAGCAGGTATAAGATCTGTCCTGCTTAATTCCTTTCCTAAATCTCAGTTTATATCTACCAGGATTTTCTGTACTTCCTGCCGTGAATAGCCCCCAAGATTAATAGAATATAAATAATTCCTAATTATTTATCAGCATATCTTAAAAATATTGTGAAAAGCCATTTTATGAGGATGATTATTAATTCATTGATTTATTATGGAAATGTTTGGAAACAAACTAATTGCAACTGGTAGGAAAATCCCAAGGGAAAGCCAATGTGTTGAAGTTTACTATCAAACATGTGCTCCAAGAGATTATTTCCTCTAATATTATATTACTTACTACCATTATAGCTGCACTGCGCAATGGAGCCTCTCCTAATAACTGGTGGATTTTCCAGCCTATCTATCATAGGGAAACAAATTAGCCTCCACTGAAGTTTATTTTAAATATATACTAAATAGGTTGATAGTAGGGCTAGTTGTATGGTTTTTATTGTACAAATAACAAAATGATTGGTCAGTTAATGCATTTGGCATATTTTATTTTTATTTTTACTTTAAATTTAATGCAATGGTTTTAATCCTACATAAATTGGTTCTAGAAGAAAAAATATGATCTTGGTTATTCTATTATCATTTCATGCAAGGTAGCATACTATCTTTCATTATTATCGTTTAAGGAAAATAGCAACACATGGCACCATTTTCCTATTTTGCTAATTTAAATTAGATTGCTGAAGGACTACCCTAGATTCTACAGTATGTGATAGACAGGGAATTTATTTTACTGAAAAGTGATCTTTATTTTCTTTTAAATAAGGTGTATTTGTTTGCTTGTTTATACAATAATTCAAGCCAGTCCTTGATATCTCCCAATCAAAATATTGCCAATTAATTTTACAGCTCAGCAGAGATGTACCAAAAAGGTATAGAGGTATAATTCCTATATATGTCAACAGTCTTGTTAAACTAGAAAAAATAGTTTTGTTGAACTAAAATGGCAATGACTTTATAATGCAAAGAGAATAATCACAAATTATATATAAAGGTCATGTCAGGATTCATCATATAATTTTTGCAAAAAGAACATTAAATACAATTTACTTTTGTAGTCAAAACAAAATGTTTGTACTCTTGTTAGTACTGTATGCTTTCAAAGCTTTTGATTACTTAAGCTGATGTTATTGCTATAAAAAGCTACGTTCTGAAAATCCTTTATGATTGCGCATAATTCAAACATAAGCAGATCAAAAGCCATTGTTTAGGGAAATAACATGACATCAAAAAGCTTAGCCTGTTTCGGGGAATAAAGAAAGGGATTTTTTTTCTTCCCAATTGAATCACTAGCTAGATTAATAAAAGCAGCAGTCAAAATAAAAAAAATAAGATAAAAAATAATCCACATAAAAGCAAATTAACCATACATATAAATTGCTTTTCATATTTAAAACTTTACACAGTTTAGACTTTTTAATCTTAAGAATTTTGGATGCATTGATTTAAAAATAAATCTGAAATGCGAAAACATCATTTAATCCAAAGAATTAAAACAATAAGAAACTAGAAAAAAAATTAAATCACTATTTCTTGATTAGACACTGTCCTCTAAATCACCACCTGTTGTCTTATTTCAAATGCTGTCAAACACCCTAACTTAATAAAATGGAAAATAATAATAAAAAATGTAGCCATGATAATAACAAAAAATATAGCTTTAGAAAAATAAAAAGCAAAAATGACATTCAGCTATTAAAACTAAGGAATTAAAAATCTCTAATTTTGTTTGAGAACAGCTTCTTACAAAACAATTTGTTTCCATCAGATAAATAGGTCATAATTCACAGTCCACTTTATATGGCTTTTCCATAGGCTTGGTGCCCATGGGCAAAAATATTTGCATCTTCAGAGCAGCCTTTTCTGATGACTCAAATGAGTATCACAAATTTGTCAGTGGGGAAAAACTGAAGAACCTACTACAAAGAAGTAGCTTGATTCAATAGAAGTATGAACAAATTTTCCTTAAAAATAATCATTCAGGACAAAACTTTGCATAAAATATCAAATATCTTTGAGATTTGTTGCATCTTTCTTTCAAAAGGAACCAAAGTCCAGGTATTTATAATATACAAGAGTACAGAATAGTACCTAATCTAAAAGCATATGGGAAATAAATTAGGGCAGGGACATTTAAATTCACCTTTGGGAAAATATATCATTCGATACCTACCTACCTTATAAATCCAAATAAAACAACCCAGGAAGAATAAGGCAATCAAAAATATTAGTCAATGATATCGCCTCCACTATTACACTATACATTCTATCATGTTTCTCTTCCGCTGGAGAAGGGATTTTTATTTACATATGTGGCTTAAATGTCCTGAAATATAGCAATCTGGGGATCTGGTAAAGAACATAATCTCAGGCATTATACACCAGAGAATTACAGCTTTATCTTGATGTTTTAACACTTTTATAATGTGTATGAACTTAGTGCATTTTATGCTAAGAGCAGCATATATAAAAACTGCTATGTATTGGAAATACTATGAGGTGAATTGTTCCATTAAGGAATTGCACTGAGAGAATAAAATTAACGGAAAGAAAGTTACTACTTTTGTCAACATATCAAAGCAACATTTGGGGGGGATTATAAAAATCTTTTCTAATATATATCTTTAGGCAGACCTTTGATAAACAGAAAAGGAGGATCTTTGTATCAGTTCTCATAAGAAACATGGAAGTGTTCATGTAGAACAATTTATCTTTTTTTACTGTTACTGTAAGTACATATATATAAAATAAAACATTTAAAAATATTTTAATTGCAGGCCCTTTGGGGGATGCTTTCCCCTTCTGGATTTAGGGAATAAGCAATCACAGAAAGAACTTTCTGCTAGTGCTTCTCTGGTTTCATCTGTCATTTCAGTCCCTGGCAAAGGACTCGCTATGTTCCCAAATAGTGCAAAACATTGAATTGTGTTAGTTTCTTCTCTAGTGCTGGTGTTTCCCTGTAACACTGTTGCTGTTGTCTTATTCATTTGTTGAATTTCTCTGCAATCAGTTTTAATGTGTTTGTAAATACCTTGCCTAAGATCGTGTTATTGAAGATAAGGGACGAAGTTTGGATTCCTAAAAAGGATTCCTGGAAGCCCAAGGGATGATGTTATTATTTCCAATTATCAAGCCCTGCATAACTCTTTTCCTTCTTTCTGGATTACATTATGTTATAGCAACAAATGCTGGAAGTTATGCACGTACATACATACCTGCATACATGCATTCATACCTACATATTTGTATATGTTTGTATATATGTATATAAAATAATGAGAAAATTTTTTGTTAAGTAATTCCAAATTTTTCTCATTTGGCAAAGGATTCCCAAGTTATGGACTTAAATCGACAACAGCAACAATAAAAAACCTCAAAGACCCTATTCACTAGCAATCTTTGATATTTAT